GCCAAAACATCGTTCCCTTTTCCTATCGTGCCTGCTCTCCTCGACATAGCCGCGCAGCCCCACTCCCTACTAACTCTCATTCTGCTGACCTTTGTCTAAAACTAACCTCGTAGTCCTACTCACCCTGGCCTAGAACCCCGGTTTCGACCCTCAACTCGACGGGGTCGGTCATGATATGACCGAGGTAGCAATTCTCTCTCTCTCTCACTCCTCCCTCCGCCATATCCCRACGCACCTATTTCTCTCACTAACTCTCTATTTACTAACTATTTCACTAATCCGTCACTTCCAACAGATTCGCCCACCCCAAAAACCCCTATCCCACACTTTTCCCCGCCCGATTCCGATAGGAATCGAGCGAGTTACGAGTCCTTCCCTTCGCCATCTCATCTCCCCCGCCGCATGCACCTGGCGCCCGGTCGCGCCCAAATTCATTCGTCCCGTTCCCGTTCATCCCCCTCTTACTCTCTTGCCCAGCGGCTGCTCAGGCCGCTCCGCCTTTCCGTCTGGTGCGCCACCCCACTGCTCCGCCATTCCCCGTCACTCCCACTGCTGATACGGCATCCGGGCTGCCCCCGCTGTCCCTATCGTCCGCCTGCTACCTCCTTCGCCTCCACTCTCCCTCGCTATGCCCGAATGCACCTCCCGCCGGGGCCCATCCGGATTCACTCACCCCTTTCTGCCCCGCTACCCGCTGCCCGTCACCTGCTGCGCTAACACTCCGCCTTGCACTGTGCGCTGCCTCTACTGTCCCGGCTGCCCGACTCCCTCACTGTGCTCCGCCATGCCGATCTTTGGATGTACCCGGCGCGAATTCGCGCCAGGTTCATCTCTTCTTTGGCCCACCCTCTCACCGCTGCGCCCTGCCTCCAGCTCACTCCCTGCCACTTAGCGCAGTACCTGACCACAGTAGCCTCACAATGCCCAGTCGTGGTCCGATCAGGTCACCACGGACGATTTCCCAATGAGTGGCCGATTCCCTCGGCGGCTCGACTAGCTTTTTGTCCCTATGGTGTGCCCGACGGGCGGTGTGTCCAGCGCATAGTGTTGCCGACCTGCCCCCGCCTCCTCCTACTAACTCCCTTCTGTCGGCACCTGCCACCCCCTCGGACTCCCAACGGTCGGACCCCCTACTCATTCAGCTGGCCGTGGAACCGGGGGGTGTGGCCTGCTCCACGGCCTAACTTAAAACACGGGCTAGCCCCGGTACGGCCCTCGGTGAGAACAGCCGATACTCAATTGAGACTCCTGAAGACCATAGTGGGGGCCCTTGCAGTCCGCGGCCCGCCCCAAGCACAACCCGCTCCTTCTCTCCTACCCACATCCGGCGTGCCAACGCTAAGCCCCCGCGCTGGCTTACTTAGACCGCGCCGTGGCCGCCCCCCGTGCGCCATCCTACGCCGTCCCATTTACCGCACAAGGTCGCGCCGTCGTTGGCGATGCCGTCGTCCTCGCACGCGCGCTCGCCTTGGTCAAACGTACTAATCAAATAAAAAATATCCTTAATTCCGGCTTAATCAAGTATAAATAAATATGAATAATATCACTAATAAAACGACCGATGTCTGCGCCGGCTTTTATGATCAAAAACTGAAAAGAATCACGCTCTAAACCTGCGCGCCCATGCACTCTCTGTTATAGTCAACCATCCAGTCAACGTAAGTCATAGACGTAGCCGCGTCTAGCGCGGTATACTTAAACTTTAAACCAAAACTATTTCCTGTCACTTGCAAAAACCAGGGCGGATACCCTTGTAAGGGTATTCGCGCCGACAGCTTACCGGACCTCATTAAGCGACGTCCCCGCCGCTTCGCAAAATCGAAAAACTATCAGATTACCCAAGATGCTGACGAAGGAGGAACCAATCCGATTAGCCGACAAACACAGGGGAGAGGCCTCCATCAAACCATGCCTCCACAACTATATGCTGTCAAGTTTCTAACCCGGGTTGTTGCCGCCCCGACATTAGGACGCTGACAGCATAAGTTTCAAAGACCTTCCCAATCATCCTCTCCCCGGTCCTAGACAACCTTCGGCTTCTCGTTGGGTGTCCCTAGTCCTGGCCAAAACTAGGGACGCGGGCCCTAACCGAGACCTTTGAAGGCACTCTCGCCTTCCTTCTCAGAGAATCTCTTGCAATCAAATACACATACGTATATTTGTATACTTAATATCCACTCGGCTCTTTCTGCAGTCTAGTACAGAAAGGCTAGGTCTCCATCTTGGCCCACCATAGCCTGGCTGATCGGACTTGGACTACGACCCACCGCATTGTTATTTTAGCGGCAGTACCCTCGTTGGTTACGCAACGATAGGTTTTCTCCTGATAAGCATTCAATCAAGATTTTCCAAAAATTCTCAACCTTTATTACCCCACGGAGTAATTTCCCTGGGATGGGCAACTCCCCTTAAACTCTTACTCCGCGGTCCCGCAGCCAGGTTGCGCCGGCTAGCAGCCATCCACTGGGGTTACGCCCTAGAGGTGCTAATCTTTACCACTTAGCTTTGTATTCCCCTACTATGTCCCAGAACTAGCACAAGTGGTTAGACGGAGCGTCGCAAAACCAATCACGGGCCCACTGCGAGATTACGCAGGGGTCTGAAGGCATTTACCATCTCTCCCACGAAAGGCATGGCATCCTTCATACAATCACAAACAAAATCCGCTAGGTCCACAAGGCCGTGACCCCTGACTTGATCAGAGCCAGCATCCACCCATCCTGAGACTTTTCTCGCCCTGCACTCTTCTGCGACTTTCTCAGACATCTCAAGCAAACGTGGTCCCTTTTCGTCAGAATTTATCAACTGAAACACTGCTTACCATGCCCTTAAATCCATTAACTACCTTTCACACGAAGGAGGTCTCTCTCAATAGGTCTCCCAGCCATCCCTCTCTTCCTAGGATGAGCTATCACACGACCCCTTTTTAAAACACCCCGCTTTTGGGGGGTGAGTCTTCCGATAACTAATATTACCACCTTCCTTAATCTGAAGGGGTCTCAATCACAGAACAACTCAGCCATAGAACAACTCAACTGAGAGGCCTACTTATGGGTCCTTCTCCACAGCTCAACTGAGGTGCCTGATTATGGGCCCCCTCCACAACTCAACCATAAAACTTCCGACATGGTAAGTATTCGAGTCTGAGAGACTCGCAAAATTCCTTAGGGTTCTCACGCTTTCACAATAACAGACTGCGCTCCCTCTCCTTATACTCGGCCCCGTCCTGCCTGTAGGCAGACCGCACGAGTATACCGAAGAGTAGACAGTTCACATTCATTCATTCTCATGAAATCCACACAATCCAATACACATGAGATGTATCTCGCACATCTCTCACACAAAGCCATCATACATCAGGATAAAACCACACATGTGAGAATGATTGTGATCGTCATATACAAAAGACAGTCTCGGATAAGGCCTCAACTCAATATATACACAGGGGTACAATACCCCAACTCAAACGTGAGCCAAATATCTCAAATTACATATGTATATTCGGAGTTGAACAATCTCAACTCAATCGTCACTGGTATCACACAAGAACAAAACAACCTCCCTAGCCAAAGCTAAAGCTAGAACAGTTTGATCACGACGTAGCCATACCCCTCAAGTCAAAGGGACCCAAGTAACTCAAGACGTATCTAGATACCCTAGGACAGGTAAGACTAGAAGTCATTCATACACGAGTCTTACAACTGCCTTCCTAGGCTAGGGAGCCTATCCCCCACATGCTTAGGGTTCTTCCCAAGCCTCTCCTACCTCTCACACCTATACGTCTATCTAGGCCCAGGCACGACGTAGGTCCCATATCTTCTTCTCCCGACCAATAGTCCTAATGGAACATACCCTTAATTCGTAACAATACCGTCACGGTCACTCCACGCTCTATCTACTTAAGACATTCCAATAACATGATGTGAGGCAGACCTGACATACCCCATGTATACATCTATCATATTGGGGTTCCTCCCGCCTGCAGTTCAGGTCACCTTACCGGACCATTATTACGAAAATCCCCCCCCCTCTGTACGCTGTGCCTCAGCTATATAATTGGGGATTCCTGCTTATATCTACATTCTACTCAAGTTTCCAGACCCTTCTCACACAAACGCTTCCTCTTCACGACTATATTCATGAGGCAGTGCTCGATGCTGCATCTCGCCGCAAAGCCTCCTTCCGTGTTTCCTCAGGGATGGTCGGGTCGATGTACTCCCCCGTCCTGTCGAAAACACCTCCCTCAATATTTTTCCTTATTAGACCGCTTCGTCGGCCCTTCGTTCTCGACAAAACTTCATTATGTGCCCCTCCTTGGCACAATGTCTGCAAACGTCCTTTCCCCAATTTGCTTTCTTCCCACCAGAATCACCCTTTCCGACACCACGTCCCTTTTTTCCGTGCCCCTCATTCGTGCAACTCTCTCTAGCTTTCCGCTTTTGGCCCCCTCCACCGGCCACTTGGCCTTGTGTCACTCGTGGTATCGGGGGCTGTAATGGCCTCATACCCAAGGCTGGTTGAAACTGGACTACAGGAGGCTTAGGTGGTATTATACCCATTTGTGGGCCCAAACAAACGCCTTGTACACAGGGCAGATATGAATTATATATGGGCCTTGGCCCTACTTGGCCGCATAGCTCCCACTGCCAGTATAGTGCATGCCCAATCGGCGGGGGTCTCTCTTGTGCTGCTCCGCCTTCCACCTCTTGCGGTGCGGCCCCCACCTATCGTGAGCACTGCCCCTTTTCGGTACCTTGGCCCTCCTGGGCCCGATTCCTCGCCTTCCGCTGAGCCTTCGTCAACTTGGAAGGTTCAGGCTCCCCTTTTTCACCCATCACCCCCTCTTCCTTGCCTCCTTGAGGGGTGCGACCAATCTCTCCCCAACGATCACATACCGTTTTTGCCCAGTGCTCTGGCCACCACTCACACCTTTGCTCCCTCCGCCCTGCAGTCGAGGATGCCTCTCTGCCAATGGGCCTTCCCTTCGGCTCCGGCGCAATAACGGTTAGGGCCCTACTATATTATCGCTCCCCCTTGATCTCAATAACCCCCTCATCTTCATCTCTTTCTAGGGCGCAAACTTGCCCTCTCGGGGTCTTCTTGTGGAGGAGTAACTCCTGGTGATCCTCTCTTACCTCCACCTCACCCTGCCCAACCGGTCCGTTAGATGCTCCTTTGAAGGTCTTCCTCTCGCCCCGCCTGGTTTCTTCCAACCGCGCCAACCTCTCTTCCAGCATCCCAACTTGCCTTTGTATGCCACTCAACTCTCCTTGCGTTGACGCGGCCTCGGCTGGCCGCTCAGGACCCTTACCAAGCCTGCATTCCACCTCGTCCTCTGGGAACCTCAGCTTCAGAGAAGCTTCCAACTCATTCCAGGTTTGCGACTTCAGCATGAGGGTGTACACCTCCTCGCTTAGTTCTTCGCAAACGAACAACGGGAACATGTACCACATTGCCTTCTTGTCCCACACCTTCGTAAGGCAAAAATCCTGAAAGTCGCGCAGAAATCTAGATAGGTTCCTTCCTTGGAACAGCAGGGTGCGAAGATCTGGGGGCATTGACGCCTGCAACACTTCGTGCAGCAACACCTTCAAAAGGCACGAATTCCTCCAAAGCAAGATCTTGGAGAAGCCGCTTTTTCCCGCCATGATGCTAACAGCAGCCTGTTACGCACAACGGGCAATAGACCATCAAACAGTGATTTAAGTAAGCTCAGGAAGACAAAGGCAGACTGTTAACACTTAAATCTTGCTATCTACTCCTTTACTCATGCGATCAGCCTCAACCCCTAGTTACCCTGACGCTTACCTTCATAACTACGATAATGGGCAGAGAGACGACTCCGGCCAAGTCAAAAGAAACGCATTTAGTAGAAAAAGACGGCATCCCCTATCGGCCCACTTCTGCCCGAATCTCCTCCCAGTCTACATTTCCCTCATTCGAATCACGAGACGAGGCGTATACGTCCAGTGTATTGGCCGTGTTCTTGAGTCACTGACTAGAAGATGAGAATTTCGGGTTTAAGTACAAGCCATATATTAGTTCACATGTATAACGTCCGTACTCCCAGTCTCGCGCCCTCATAGCAGCTTCAGCCGCCGCCTCCAACCTCGCCTGCCCACCAAAACTCTATTCTATCATAAATTCAGGCAGGATTACTCGCAGTGGAGCAGATGGAAGCCCGAACTCTCCAGCGCGCTCGACCCTTACGCGGGTTAGTACTCGCTCTTTCCCATCACGGGACACTTCCCTCGCCCACTTTGTCGCGGCTCCCTCGGCAACCCTCAAAGGCTTAGCAAGCAGGCTCCCATGCCCAAGCGCCAACTCTATCCCATGCTCGATCCAGAATGAGGGCGAGGCATACAGCGTCACCCTTACAATTGCACACTCTTGCTTGTCATCGAAACCAGACTCGATCCAGACAAAGATGTCCGGGCTCATCAGCATGCCCCACCATAAGGAGAGGTACTCTCCTGCTCTGACCCACCTGGGCAAAGACACCTCGAGCCCTCCCTCTTTCTTCATTGGCCCGAGCATACGCGGATCTTCCCGTGCATACGGCATCCTGAGTTACCTTAGCTCCGCCTGGGTTCTGCCCATCACAGACAAACGTCCAGCACGCGCCTTCTGTTATTTAACTGACAATCCCTACCCCTCTTGGAAAAGTGACCCAAACATACAGGCTTAATGGCCAACCCATGAGCCAAATACTGGACAGGAGACATTCGTACAAATTTTTACAGACTAATAAGATCCCAAGTATAATCCCAACAAGATAACCCATACGAAATACTCCTGAAAATGGTATCTGCTTAAACATATAACTTTACCTAATTAGACATAAACTAGGCCTACAAGGTCTGACATCCATAGATGAGTCCAATACACAACTCAAAGCGACATCCTCAAAACAAACGGTCCCATGTTTTTAGCTTCCTAAGTGGATGGTCCAAGCCTGGAACGGTTCATGCAAGGGTCTAACATCAATTACAATTCACTGGCCCACTAAGGGTAAGTAGAATAGTCCAAGTGTTAGCTCCCTCACGATTACGCCGACCGTCTCTAGGGTCAGATACCCTCTTTTAACATGCGCTATGCAAGTCTACTACTTCCCATAGTCCACTCTATTGGGGCCTTACCACGGTGCTCACTGCGTCTCTTCACTGCCTTATATGCCTAACCCAAACATGCCACACTGGACAGGCCTCAGACTTCCCTGGCTATACAACCCAAGCGACTGCTTAGAACCCAAATTCCAGGATCCCAATTCATACTCGTACGGGCTCTCAATATCCTTACCCTAACTCTCCTCGAAGTCCCTTGGCGACTTCTAACATAGTAGGCTTCCTTTACTCATTTTATGCCTCGCCCTAAAGCCAAGGTGCTATATTGCACCCTTGGCCGCTCGGGTAACTCCCCTTAACCAGAATGGGCACCTTACACAACCAATTTCCCCAACCACCACACCTTGCTTTGTTGACACCGCCTCATCTTTCCTTAATCGTATTAGACATGCAGATCATCGTCCAAACCCATCAACTATCGGGGTCAGAAGAGGTATCAACTCCAACTACCGTCACACTGGTCAAAGTACGCAAGTGCATAGTCAAAGTACGTGCGCGCATAGTTAACGTACATGGGCACATAGTCAAAGCTTATCCCTATCGCGCCACCCTTATTGCACCGAACCAGAACTCACTCACACAATCATCCCTCACTTGGTCTCTATCAAATACCAACAATCGATTACCCCTGAGAGTCAAGAGAAACTTCTTAATTTGCCTATTTCTCACATTCCAATACCCGGATGTCGTTCCACCAGGGACAACGGTAGGCGACCGTTATCCCCGACAACGGCGCCACCTGTCGGGCGCATTGGTCCGGCACCGCACATGGCAGCGCGGGACCCTCTCAGCCACGTCACGCAGGAGTTGAACCAACCTTGCCACGAACACACAAATAGAGCTTCCTTAGGCCGCTCCGGCCGAGTGCGCCAGCCATACCTCTCGCGAGCCCCTACGACAGGATAG